CAATTTTCACCATCAAAAGCACATTGTTACATGCTTGATAGATTATACAAATGAATTTTCCTTCTGAACAAATATCAAAGGAAGCTGCGGTACTTATATGCATAGGATGTTTTTGTTGTTTTGTTGGGTGGTGTGAGATTCTGTGAGCTACTAATTCAACAATCTTGATGGAGAACACGACTGGCAGTTAGAGGCCTCTGACCTTAGAGTTTTAACAGAAGAATGTGCCATAGAATTAAACAAAAGAAAAATACATTTCAGAAGGGAGACTTACACACAAAAGAAACATAAAAACAGCAGGAAATAAGACTGTCATAATTAGTTTGAAAAATAATCTGTCTTCAAGGAATGTATTCCCTTTGATTTGTGATAAATAACCATAATGTGCTATTGAAACATGCCTTGCCAAGATGGCCTTAAAATGCTGATATTTTCAAATTAGTCCAATTTCCATTAAATATTGATGTTTTGACAGTTTTGTACTTTTTAGAACTTTTCTCTAGTTAGAGCAGAAAGAGAAAATAGATATGGGGCAGCCAAGGGGTTTGGGGGAGGTAGAGAACTGAAAATGTTCTTGAAAATAGAGTCTTGTGTATAAAGAGAGAAACAGAGAAACACCCACCAACAACATGGGCACTTGCTAACAAGAAGCAACAAGGTAGTTATTCAGGGAAATAAATCTGAAGGAAAAAAAAGAATTTGATGTGCCAGTTAACTTTGGATTACCTACCCTTAATATTCAGGGAATCTTAGCCAGATAGTCACTGCTTCAAATTGGGTTTCATTCCTTTAATTCAATGAAAGGATTTGGAACTAATGAAGTTCTAACTAATGAAGTTGGAACTAATGAAGATGGCTTAAAGCAGAAATTCTTAATCTCTGAATTATAGTGAGATCCATATGTTGGGTGAGATAATTCTCTCTTGTCAGCACTATTCTGTGGATTTTAGTTATTAAAGTTTATTTAACATCATTCCTGGCCTCTAATCACTAGATGTGAGTAGCACAGACCCCAACTTGTGACAGGAAGAAACGTCCCCAGACATTGCTTAATGTACCCTGGGTGACAAAATAACTGCCTTCACCAATGAGTACCATATGCCCTCAGGGGTTTCCAACACATGCCACATGCTGATACGGTGAAGGCTTTTTGTCAGATAGCATGAGAGGTATGTACAGACCATTTTTGCTAATCAGCTTTCTTAGTGTTTGTATATCTACTATGTGGCCCAAGACAATTCTTATACTAGCATGTGGCAGAAAAGGAAAAAAGTTGGATGTCCCTGCAGAGAAAGACGACTGTGTGCAGGCAGCACTGGCTGAAGGTGGGAAGAAATTAAAGGTAACATACAATCTTAAGGTGGTAAAAAATGAATAAATGAATGAACAGGTGGTAGATAAATAAATAATGATAAAACACTGCTTCTTACTTGGCCACAGGAGAAATGAATGGAGTTAGCATTGTAATTGGACAAGTAAGGAAAATACAGTTAATTCCTCTCAAGGATTTAAATCACAGTTTACTTTGGTTTCAATGAGTTTGGGTGATTCTGATAGGCAGGTTTTGACTCAAGGCCCCTTCTTCCATTGGGAAATTGTATTTCTTACACCGTGTGATTCTTGCTCAGTGATTGGCTGTAGGCCTGGACATATGACCCAAGCAGGACCAATCAAAATCCTTGAAAGGGATTTCTGTGGTACAAAGCCTGGGGACAAAGAAGCCAATTCAGAGGCAAGAAGGGCATGAGGACTAGGTTTCCTGTTTCTCTTCAGGCCTTAAGCCAGTCTCTGCCTTCCATTTCCCTATCGTGGGGCATTTTAACAAAAACTAAGCTGATGTAGATTTCTATCACTATCAAGCGACCATGATAATCTTAGCTAAGAGTCACTAAACCATATCACAATTAGTAATGCCAACTCGGATTATTTGAATCAGATTATTAATATATTGAGGGGAAAAGTGGTTCCTGGACTGCAGGTATTTCCCCACATCAAGAATTCCCCATGAGTGACTTAGCAGCAATATGTTATCAAGGTACCCGCTCCTTAATCAACTGGGCATCATCTGATGTGCAAATATATAACCAATAACCTGAATTTTAACCAAAAAAAGTTCCACACTGAGCAGTGGGAAACTGGAGAAACTCTTGTACACAGAGGCAGTACAAATAAATAGGTAAAAATGTTTGATTTTATGCCAAGCTTCTTAAACTTGTAAATTTAAAGAATTATTGAATCAAAATTTCAATGTAAAATGTTCTGTTATTACCAATCTAAATAGAAATAATGAGTATTTGGATCATAAATATTAAGATTATCAATATTGCTAAGATATAAATGACTGCTTTTATAGCTCCTATATAAAGGATTGCTTTAGGGGATTGCGATAATGATGAAGATCAATTTGTACATTTGGCCATTAATCACCATTTCCTAATTGGGTTTAATTTGACTACTGCTCATTAGAGTTATAAACCAACACACTCATTTAATTGTGATTATAATTCAATAGCTGAACTTTTATGGTACAATGAACAAATTAATAGCTAAAGATAATTTTGCTCTTAAAAATATTACATTAGACTTACGTTTTAATGAACTGTATATAAAGAATGTGCTTTATGATGATTCCTTATTAAAAAAACTCAATAATTTTCTGTTCTCTTAATAATCAAAAGCAAACTTCAGACTTCATGAGGCTTTGTAAACACCCTCTAAGAAAAGGTCCCCACACCCCTGCTCTCTGCTGGCAGTCCATGGCTTGTGAATGATCACTTCCTCAAGGACTGAATAAAGATGGTATTACAGCCTGATCCTGATTTTCACCCCATTCCAAAGTAAGATAAAAATGAATTTCCATTTTTAAAAATGTGAAATAACAAGGGTTCTTGTACATGCTAGTTTGAAAAGCAATATATGACCTTTAAGAACTTTTATGTTGAACATCCTCTCTTTCATTACTTGGACTTAACTATGAGCCACTCAACTCAGCATGAATTTTGATCGGTATTCCCAAACTGGCAACTACTTCTAGGTTATTCTGAATAAAGCAAATGAATAGTTTAGAAGGAAAAATGTTGAAAAGGCAGGTAGCTGTGTCTGGCATATCAGATACAAGATTCAGAGGGACATGGGTTCAAATCTCAGCTCCTGTAACTAGCTGTGTGTAGGGGTGGGTGTCACACTGAGTTTTCAACCCTCTGTAAAATGGGTAACAACTCCTAATTTTGCAGGGTTGTGGTAAAGAGTGAAAAAGGATGTATGTACACATTTATCACAGTGCTTGGCATATGAGCTCAAGTAAAAGTTTCTTCCCCTTCCCTTCCACTTCTTACTGAGATTCCAGAGATGATTTTACAAGTTTCAAAAATATTTACAAATAAAGACAGTTTGCAAGTACATGACCTAGCACAGATTTTTATCTGGTGGTCATCTGTGTAAACCATAAAATAATACTATTTGCAATGGCTTCCTGAACATGCAGTCTTTGCTCTTCCTCATTTGAAATTTGTATCGATATTGGACCACTCTTGTACTACCCAAGATTTATTTTATGAAGGTTGGGGATTAGCCTGTATTGTGTCTGATACTTCATGCTCAAACATAAACAAGATAACCTTATTTTCACAACTACTCTTTGAAATATTATTTTTACTGCTTTACTTGATTTAAAAAAAAAAATAAAGACCTCAGGCTTAAGTAGGCAAAGTAACTCTCCCAAGTCTGTAGCCAGAGCATAGCACACCTAGAATTTGCACCTAGGTCTATCTGGGTTCCAGGGAAATGACCTTATAGTTTTTCTGAATGTGATGACATAATCTCTGAAATATGCCAATGAGAAAATTTTGTACCATCCACCTGGGTCCACAATATTGGTGAGTTCGCATATAATGATTCATTCCATTTACCAATTCGGTGGCAAATTTTTATATACTGACAGCCCACAACATACCACATAGCATACAAGACACTGGGGGTGAAATGTCTTAAAAAAGACAAGCTAAGGGGAGCATGCATTCCGGTATCATTATCCTATCCACCCACTGTCTCACCCTGTGCCCCGCCATGCCCCTCCACCATGTCCACAAGCTTTTGCTATTAAATTAATAAGAACTTACTGAAAACTTGTTATACACAAGATAGTGCAATGCTGGTATATACTTAGATATAAAGCAACTATTTATACTACAGGTACCTGATGGATAAAAGAAACCTCCCCTGACTAAAATGCTACCTCCTCCTACCTGAAGAAGAAGGTGAGGACCACATAATACGAAAGACTTCAATCGGGGCACTAACGCAGTGGTTCTCAACCTTCCTAAGCTGTGATGCTTTAATACAGTTCCTCATGTTGTAGTGACCTCCAACCATAAAATTATTTTCATTGCTACTTCATAACTGTAATTTTGCTACTGTTATGAATTGTAATGTAAATATCTGATATGCAGGATATAGTTAGGTGACCCCTGTGAAAGGGGTTGTGACCCACAGGTTGAGAACTGCTGCACTAAAGGTTTCACAAAGGTGACATATGTCCCATACAGGACACAAGGGGAAACTGTATAAAGACTTGGGCAAACTGAAAAGTTTCAACAAGTTTTAGTTTCATAAAAGCAGGTGGATTCATTACACTCAAGTGCAATGACTTCCATTCCCACCCAAATCTTTACCTTACTAGCAGCATGACTGGCCTGAAAAAACAAGTTAATGTCTGCACAGGTATAGGGAGTCAAGGGGCAAGGGAAGCAGTCAATGCATGTTTCTAAGTAAAACAAGAAGTAGCTTCCTCTAAGGCTTGGTGTTTGGCTATAAACATACCTAAGTGCTAAAATGGAAGCATCAACCACATCATGGAAGTATTTGAAACTATGGCAGGAATTAAATTCCTAAAGGAAATTAAAGCAAAGTTGCTGACATAGTCTTCTGTGCAATGTGATTTATAGTGTGCATAAATAGTTATACTCTATTCATTCGTTTTCTCTAATTTTTTATTTTTTTACCTTGTCCTTCTGGAGTTTCACCAAAGGGATTCACTTCCACCTGAGTTGCATCAACTTTCAGGAACAGATTATACAGCTTCTTAATTTGATCTGCAGCCTAAATGTGATCAAGTGAAATAGAATTATACCAAAGCAGTAAAAGAGAATTGATTTTGCTGGATTAATGAAACCTTAAAAATAGCAAGGTATGTCTTTATTTTCACTTAGGTTTTCTGAAGGGTAAAACAGAAAAACATAATTATTTTAATTTCCACTGCTATTCATTAGAAGAAATTACTCAACTCTCCTCTAGACACCAGAAGATACCATTATCAAGAAAACAAAATATTTTCAATACAGCCTAAAATGCTGTTAATCTTTTTGTAAATTATCATGTCCCTATTAGCAGAGTTATGCTACAATATAAGCTATAATCATTAATACAAACAAGCTCCATTTAAGAAAAAAGTAAACATAATTTTGAAAAGTTTGATGACTAGGTTTTCCTTATTATGCTGGAATAGAACAGTTATCATATTCATCAATCCAACTCATAATCTGTGAAACAACAATTACCTAGTATCTAATAGAAACTGTTGTAAGGCAGGAAGATGGAAGTCCTTAACAATATAGCTACTGAATAGCACAATTCACACTAAACACCATTTGTCCCAAAGGCATTAATTGCCCTCCCATTAACTTCCCCTCCCATTTTATGCCTGTGACTTGATTTTTCTCACACTGCTTGAAATTCAGTCATTCATTCGATCTTTTCAACCAACATTTACTCGCTGCCATGAGCTGGGCCTCAGTTTCCTTCCTGATGCCCTTCATTTCTCAGCCATGGTATCCCTACTGCCAGGTTTCACCCAGTATGCCAGCCCTGTGTTATCTGCCAGCAGATCCGTTTTTAGCCCTCCCCATTCTCTCTGTATCTCAGAGGGGTTAACTCTTACAGGCGGAGATTTCCAAGTTCCTGGGTAGGCTGGCTCCCACAGGGTTCAGCTGATGGTAAGCATGGAGGAACATAGGTGGGAGGAGGGGAAAAGCCAGGGTGCTGCTTCTCCCTTCTTTCAGACTAGAGCAGCACATCCTCCTGGGGCCCTAGCTCCCATTAGCAAGGCTAGGGTCCCAGCCTCAGATTCTAAGGTCAGTAACACTATTGCCTCATTTTGTTCCTCTGATGAACATGATCTAGGTCGCCTTTCTGACCAAACTTCTCAGCTCTTGTAATGCCTATGTAACAAATTCCATCCAGTAAATCCCTAGTGGGTAAGAGTGGTTCCAGATTTGACAGAACTCCTCAAGATTTAATTCGTGTTACCTTAATCTATTTCATGCCTATTTATAAACTTCCTTAACTCCTAATCTGAAGCCCAACAGATGTACAAACATACATGAGTATGACTAAATATTTTTAATATTAAATATCTTTATGGATAGATAACATACATAAAGGGTACAAAATCCCCAAAGTAGGCAAGGGTTTCCCCTGATCCTACTCCCTGGCCATAAGCAGTCACCTTACCAACCTGTGCTCTATCTGAGAGACAGTCTTTGTATAGAAAGTATGCATACTCTTCCTTCATCTATATTTGAAAACCAAACTTGGTTCCGTATCTTGTTTCTTAATAGATTTTAGAGACCCTTCATCAGCAACATAAAAAGATTGACCTTATTCTTTTAACTGCACAATATCTTTTTTAAAATTTATTTTTTATTAAATCATAACTTTGTACATTGATGCATTTATGGAGTTCAGGGTACTGCTTTGATATACAATGTGAAATGCTTACATTGAAATAAGTAAAACATCCATCACAATTACACTCATTTCTTAATAGTTTGGAAAATGTACCATTGCATCATGCACATTAGGTGAGGTCCCCCCAAATACCCTCCCTCCTCCCAACTCCCCCCTCCCCTCCCCTCTCTCTCCTCTTTCCTTCTACTTTCTGAACTATAGTTATGTTTTGCCATTGATATGAGTGTGCAGGTGGTTATATATTAATTTCATAGTAGTATTGAGTACACTGGATACTTTTTTTTTCCATTCTTGAGATACTTTACTAAGAAGAATATGTTCCAGCTCCATCCAGATAAATATAAAAGATGTGAAGTCTCCATCTTTTTATGGCTGCATAGTATTCCAAGGTGTACATATACCACAATTTGTTAATCCATTCATGGGAGGATGGGCACTTGGGCTGTTTCCATGTCTTGGCAATTATGAATTGGGTTGCAATAAACATTCTGGTGCAAATGTCTTTGTTGTAAAATAATTTTTGATCATCTCGGTATATATCTAGTAGAGGAATTGTAGGATAGAATGGTAGGTCTATATTTAGTTCCTTGAGTGTTCTCCAAACTTCTTTTCAAAAAGGTCGTATTAGCTTGCATTCCCACCAGCAGTATAGAAGCATTCCTTTCTCTCTGCATCCATGCCAACATCTGTAGTTTGGGGATTTTGAGAGGTGGACTAATCCTACTGGAGTTAGATGATATCTCCAAGTGGTTTTGATTTGCATTTCTCTGATGATTAAGGATGATGAGCATTTTTTCATGTTTGTAGGCCATGCTTCTCTGTCTTCATCAGAGAAGTTTCTGTTCAAGTCTCTTGCCCACATAGAAATGGGGTTATTTACTCTTTTCTTATTGATTAGTTTGAGTTCTCTGTAGATTTTAGTTATCAGATCTTTGTTGGAAGGATAACCTGCAAAAATCTTCTTCCATTCTGAAGGTTGTCTGTTTGCTTTACTTACTGTGCTCTTGGCTATGCAAAAGCTTTTTAGTTTGATCAGATCCCAGTAACATATTTTTGGTGTTGCTTCAATTGCCAAGGGGGTCTTCCTCATAAAATATTCGCCCATGCTGATTTCTTCAAGAGTTTTCCCTGCACTTTCTTCTAGTATTTTTATAGTTTCATGTCTTAAGTTTAAATCTTTAATCTAGTGAAAGTCTATCTTAGTTAATGGTAAAAAGTATGGGTCCAGTTTCAGTCTTCTACAGGTCACCAGCCAGTTTACCCAGCACCATTTGTTAAATGGGGAATCTTTTCTCCACTGAATGTTTTTAATTGGCTTGTCAAAGATTAAATAACAGTGAGTAGCTGGGTTCATCTCTTGGTTCTCTATTCTGTTCCATAAATCTACTGCTCTGTTTTTGTGCCAGTACCATGCTGTTTCAATCACTACAGATTTATAGTATAGCCTGAATTCTGGTAACATGATACCTCCTGATTTATTCTTATTTCTGAGCAATGTATTTGCTATTTGAGGTTTTTTCTGATTCCATATAAAATGAAGTACTAATTTTTCAAGTTCTTTAAAGTATGGTAATGGTGCTTTAATAGGGATTGCATTAAATCTGTAGAATGTTTTGGGTAGTATGGACATTTTAACAATGTTGATTCTTCCCAGCCATGAATGAGCATGGTATGTTTTTCCATTTAACATCTTCAGCTATTTCTTTTCTCAGAGTTTCATAGTTCTCCTTATAGAGATCTTTCACATCCTTTGTTAGGTAAATTCCCAGATCTATAAATATAATACATCACACCAATAAAATAAAAAACAAAGACCATATGATTCTCTCAATTGATACAGAAAAAGCCCTTGATAATTTGCCTACATAATAACTTATGGTGTGGAATGCACCATATTCATTTCATCTTTCACTTAAATAGCGGCCATTAGGATGGTTTCTAATATTTGATTTTACCACCCTGCCTAGCTATCTCTGTATTATTGTCTATAATACATGTGATTGAACATTTATAAGATAAATTTTCTAGAGTGGAAAGAAAAGGGGAATAGGCATTTTAAATATCAAAATTGCTTGCAGTAGAAACCGTGCCTGATTTCCGCTCCTATAAACCAGGATCCATGTGATTGTTTTTCCCCTCTCAACCATCAACCATCTGGATCTTTCTTTGTGTGTTAGGTAAAAAGTATATCTCACATATAATTTTTAATTTGAATCTCTTTATTCATGAATGAGTTTAAACATCATTCTAAATAAGCTTAGAAGATACCTGGATTTCATTTTCTGTGAATTTTGCCTGTTTTCCTATTGAGGTTTTGGTCTTTTTCTTATTAATTTATGGAATTATGTGTTTTTACAGGAAAAAAAAATTAGCCCTTCATCTCATGTAAATTTCAAATTTCTTTTCCCCTTTCACATTTATCTTTTTAATCATATTTTTGTTACTTTTGCCACATGGAAATTTCATTAACAATAATGTCATTCTTTTCTTTTATGACTTCTGGCTTTGTGTCAAACTTCTAAAGGCCAGCTGCATTCTGAGAGTATTATTTTTTAAATTCTCCAACACTGTACACTGTACCCCATGACAGTATTAATGTACATTGCTATGATTTAATAAAAAAAAATTCTCCCATACTTTTTCCTAGTATTCTTCATGACTTTCTTTAATATTTACTTTTTTTACCCCCTCCAAATGAAATTTAAGTTAAAGTAAAAAGCCAACAAATGTCTCACTGCTGGTTATATTTTGCATTTAGGGAGGTTTATTAGAGCATCAATATGAGCTTTCAGTAAGAGCTGCCTGAGGGAGGCATCGTGTTATCCTGTGCACTAAGACATACACCATATTCACACAGCCCCTGCACAGTCAGCACTTACTAGATATCTGCTGAATTCATGTTTAATTTAATAATAAGGGGAAACTACCTATTAGAATTAATTTATGGGTACATCTGTATGTGAGATCTTATCCCAGCCACTTCGAAATGTCCTTTTTAAGAAATTTTGATAAAATATATCTAACATAAAATTCCTCACATCTCAATCATTTTAAAGTGTATATACACTTCAGCAGCGTCAAGTATATTCTCATTGTTGTGTAACCAATCTACAGAACTTCTTCATTTTCCCAAACTGAAACTCGATACTCACTCAAAACTTCCCATTGTCCCCTCTCCATCCCTCTGGCAACCACCACTCTACTTTCTGTCTCTATGAATATAATAACTATTCTAGGTACCTTATTCATAAACACATATATAGACAAAGTGAGACAACTAAGTTCGCAAACTTGGCATCATACATTTAACATTGATAGCACTGGACAAACAACTCAGGAAGGTTTCATAACTT